TAGAAAAGTTTATATTAAAAAATCATACATGTTTCTTTACAAAGAAAATATGAGCAATTAAATTAATTTACCTTGAGGGGGAAAAAAAACCCTATTCTCTGATGGCACAGATACACTGAAACCACTGTCCCTTTCACAAAAATGTCTTTCTCTACTGTCTAGACTAAAACCACACACCACTTCCATGGTCAGTATGTAGTTGGTACCCAGGGAGCATCCTGAGGCACTGGGCTCCTTTCCCTATTGACTTGACTTCTGCAGGGTGCAGGAGACTCCCACTGCCACCATCTGTGCCCCACCTGGGCCAGAAGCACCCAGGGAAGGCAGGTTCCAGGGTCACACCAAGACCCACCAACCCTAGCTCTGGTGCTCATGGAATGGAAGCAGATTTTGTTGTTTTGATCCTGGGAGACCTTTTGCGAAGGCTTTCAAGGCTACTGGGGAATGTCATACTGGAGGGCATGCTGTGAAGGACAGCCCCAGAGACTTCACAGAGGGCATGCTATGAAGGACAGTTCTCCACAGACCACATGCCCACAAAGTTCTATGTGGAGGAGACACTAGAAATGTACAACTTTCTTGAAGACAAAAGGTCAAGTTCTTTGGGTACCAAAGTCTAGAGAGGCTTGCAAAGTAATTGCAGCTTAGTTTTACCGTGGACCTCTGGCCTAGGAACCAGCCTAGGAGCCAGGTAGAGCCCCTCTTGGTCACACAGTGATGGGGTCTCTTCACAAAGGAGGCTAAGCCCCAGAGCCACTGGGATACCCTCAAAGTTACAGAATTCCCCTAGACTCATGTCTTCTCTACTACATCACCCACCCCTTGGGCTACTACAAGGAGAAAAGACCCCACAGGTGAGCTTCAGGTAGCCAGCAGCCTTACCCTTCTGGCACACTTAGTGGTCAAGCATCTGGGTTCCAGGGAGGACAATGGTGAATGACCACCTCTGTGTCTCTTAGTAGGAATTTATTGATAAGCTTACTTACCTGAGCTCTAGTCACCATTTCTCACTTCTGGTGTGATGCAAGTCACCTGGTTGGAACATCACCAAGTAATTGTTACAACACCCTGACTGACCCCACCTTCCTACATGAGCATTCTGTTTCAGAGATCAGGTACCTGGTATACAGCCTGTTCCTTCCTTGTTCCCAGGCACCCTGTCCTTCCCCCTGGCCTCTGAGAGATCCATCTTGCAGGGCTCCTACCTCGTGAGATTTTACCCTTCTTTCCTGTTCTGGGCCTTACCCATACCCTGGCCTGTCTAATTCCCAACTCCTAGTGCATTAGTCAGCTTTTAATTGCTATCATCAAAATACCCGATGAGCAATTTAGAGTAGGAAAAGTTTATCTGGGGCTCATGATTTATGAGGTTCAATCCCTGGTGAGCCAATTTCATTATTCTGGGCCTGAGGGTGAGGCATGGCAGGATGTGGTAGATTCAAACTGCTCCATTCATGGTGCCCAGAAAGCAGAGAGAGAGAAGGGAAAGGGCCACAGGGAAGACAAACACTTCCAGGACATGCCCCCAATGRCCTTCCCCCTCCAGCCACCTGCTTACAAGTTACCACCTAATTAGTCCATTCAAACTTGGATGGACCAATTAGGTTACAGCTCTCGCAATTAATCATCTCACCCTCAAACATTTCTGCATTAACACAGGAACTATGAGGGGACATCTCCTATCCAAACCATAATACCCAATTCAATGTAAAAGTCATTTCTCCTGTCTGCTTCCATTGGGCCTTATGATCATCTACTTGGTCCCAAAGAGAAGGGCAATTTGTCCTCCAGAGGAACACCCAGATCTGCTTCCCACAATGAAACTAATGCTCCATTGAATTTACCTTGGTGTTTTCCTTCCAAATGTTTCAATTTCTTCATAACCCAGGGAACCCAATGGTGCCTTAACTCCCCAGAATGCCTGTATCCTGTCACCATTACCTCCTCAAACAACAGCATATCTAAAACCCAGACACATAGGGAGCTTTGCAGGCTCGGTAGGGAGGGAGAGGGTTGACCATGGGCTACCACCCACCTCTTCACTTCTTGTACTAGAAACCAAAGCCCCAAAGCTTACCTATGGTGAGCACTACTGCCACCCTCTGACAGCCAGGTCTCCCCTAAAGAAACACAGACACCCAGGGCTTTCACCTGAGGGGCCCATGCTTTCACCTGAGGGGCTCCTCCTGAAAGTGTATGTGTGTGAGCAGGGAGGGGGACTGGGGACTGAACCCAGGGTCACTTCACCCCTGAGCTACATCCCCAGCCCTTTTAATTTTTTGATTTTGAGACAGATTCTTTGTAAAGTGCAAACCAAAGGAAGAGTCACCCAATCCCCTAAAAGTGCCCTCTGCCTGGAGGGACACTGTCACCTGCACCAGGAAATGAGACCATAGCTGCCTGCAGCCTCTGTGCACTTGAAATGTGGTTCCTGCCATCACAGAGCTAAAGTTCCCATTTCATTTAATGTAGTTAATTTAATACAGTAGGTTGGTGCCAACCTCTTGGTGTGTTAATATTTCAGGGAATTCTTTTTTATCTTTCTTTCTTTTGTATGTGTGTGAGCAGGGAGGGGTACTGGGGACTGAACCCAGGGTCACTTCACCCCTGAGCTACATCCCAAGCCCTTTTAATTTTTTGATTTTGAGACAGATTCTTTGTAAAGTTAGCAATTGCATAGGAACTCGATAAGTTACCAAGGTTGGGCTCAAACTTGCAATCCTCCTGCCTCAGCTTCCCAAATCACTAGGATTACAGTGTGTACCTCTGTACCCAGCTCAAGGCATTCTTAAAAAGTGAGGTAGTTTACCAACCTAAGACCCTCTATCCCATTCTCTCTCCCCCACTACTATACTTAGAATTTCCCCAAAACCTTTTTTTTTTTATCATGTTGGGATTGAACACAGGGACATGCAAGGCAAGCACTCTACCAACTAGCTATATCCCAGCCCTTAACATTTTATTATTTTTTATTATTTTAATATACAATCCCTGATTATTGAGAGGGGAGTAATATTCTTTTTTTATTGGTTGTTCAAAACATTACAAAGCTCTTGACATATCATATTTCATACAYTTGATTCAAGTGGGTTATGAACTCCCATTTTTACCCCAAATACAGATTGCAGAATCACATCGGTTACACATCCACATTTTTACATATTGCCATACTAGTGACTGTTGTATTCTGCTATCTTTCCTATCCTCTACTATCCCCCCACCCCTCCCCTCCCATCTTCTCTCTCTACCCCATCTACTGTAATTCATTTCTCTCCCTTGTTTTTTTTTTTTTTTTTTGAGAGGGGAGTAATATTCAAGACACTCATTAACCATCAACCAGAAAAGGTCCTTATTCACTTTTTGCAGTATGGAGCCTCTGTGGCTTCTTTAGAGTCATATTTCTTTCATAAAATCAAACACCTGCATCTGGCTCTGCTTTACCCCTAATCCTCCCCTCAGTCCAGCATCCCTAGTCTCCTAGGTCTTGGCCTACATATTTTGTTCTATTTCACACTCTAAGTGGGTTTTTTGTTTGTTTGCTTTTTCTTTTTTGTGAAGGATCTGTGGATTGATAGAGTAGAATTTTTCTTCTAGCTACTGTAGCAATATGTTTGACTTTTAGAAAATGGGTTATGTCAGTCCACACCAAGCCACTAAAACCCCAACTCACAGCTGCGTGCCATGGCTCCCCACTCTCTGAATGTGGATGCAACCCACTGACCYAGTATCCTCACAGACAGGCCCCTGCACTCCTCATTCCCCTGTCTTAAATGTCTTGTTGCTCTGTTGTTGATCTTGTTTATGTGTAGAGCATTAAACTTCTGCACCCCCAGTTCCCAGAGCTGGCAGGAAGAGGAAAGCTCAGAAAGCAAGTGCTACAATTGCCATTGAACAAGTTGAACAAAGGAATGAATGGCAAGCTGGACTTGAGCAGGGTCATCAGCAATCCTTCAAGTCTGCGAGCTCCACTTCTCTAGGAACTAGAAGCATAAGAGTTTGGGGAGCCAAGGAGGGATGTTGGGGTCCTCTGTTCTGCCTGGCTTTGGCACAGATGCTGGTGACAGAAGCCCTTCATGTTACTTTCCTCATATTCTGGCCAAATATGGGTTTCCTGATACAGGAAGAACAAGAGAAAGTAGAATCAATCCAGCCCACCTACCATCCTTAACTGACTACATGCCAGGCTTGAGTGGATCCCTGAAGAATGGCATTCATTCATAGGAAAGTAAAGACTTATACCCAGACTTGTACCCAGAGAACCTCAGGGGACAGTCTAGGAGAGACATCAGTGCTGGAGCTGTAGGAAGTGGGAGAGCTAGGGTGGGCTCCAACCAGAGTCTTGAGATCAGATGTTCTGCCAAGAATGCAAGAGGAGGGTGGTTGAAGCCAGGGCAACCAGTCTCCTTACCAATGGAGAGGCAGGACWGGGTTGAACAGTCCATGTGATCCACTTGGCTGGGACAAGCTGGAAGTGGTGGGGTGAGGGGCAGGCAGGGCCAGCTTCTTCTAACACCCTAAGACCACATCCTGTCCAGATGTCTCACCACTAGGGGGCATGTTCAGTATTTCTTTAACATACATGTTGGAAATTCCCCTGGGTCCTGAAAATGTTCTGTCTGGTGGGGGAGTGGACAGTGTTTTAGTGTGCTTTTATATTGCTGTGACCAAAACATCCAACAAGAACAACTTAGAGGAGAAGTTTATTTGGGACTCACAATTTTAGAAGTTTCAGTCCATAGACAGCTGATTCCACTGCTCTGGGACCTAGGTAAGGCACTACATCATGGCAGAAGGGAATAGTGGAGGAGAACTTCTCGGCTCATGGTGGGGTCAGGAAGCAGAGAGAGCAAAGGGAAGGGGCATCAGGGATGGTGAACCCTCCCAGGGCATGCCCCCAGTGACCCACCTCCTCTAGCCATGCCCCACCTGCCTCCAGTTACCATTCAGTCCATTCGAACTAGGATGGACTGATGAGGTTACAGCTCTCACAATCCAATCATTTCACGCCTGAACATTTTTGTATTAATATAGAAGCTTTTGGGGAACACCTCAGATCAAAACCATAACAGATAGGGATTACATCATACCTTCAGCACCATCTAGCTAAGAAGTTTTGGATGTTCAGCAGACATATGGATACACAAGTGCATGGTGGGGTGAGCGTGGGTAGATGGAACAGGGAATAATCAGGGCTGAGGGCCATAAGGCAGAGAGAATAACTAAGTGACCCAAGGCATGAGGCATCACCCCTTGGATTATGTACCCTGCTACCATCAATGTTCCCATCTGGTACTGTGTTTCTCTCTTTCAGATTTCTGTTCACAGGACTTTAACTCAGGTGTGAAGCCAGGATTTCCCAAAACAATAAAGACTGATGACCCAGGAGTCCTCAAAGCTGCCAGACACAGTGTGGAAAAGTTTAACAACTGYACAAATGACATCTTCTTGTTCAAGGAGTCCTACATTAGCCGAGCACTGGTACAGGTGAAGGTCTAGGTTCTGGTGGCCCCATTATCAGATACACCCCTGGGAAGCCGAGAGACAGCAACCCACCACTAGAACATACACAAGGACAGGAAGCTGATGGCGGCAATCAAAACCAGTGTGACTCACAGCCAAACACAAAAACCCAGGGTCCTTTGCTTGCTCAAACCACACTTCCCTTGGGTGGTCACCAGGCCGCTGGCCTAAAGCCCATTAATGGGACTAAGGAGTGCAGAGGCAATAACCCCACTCCTAAAGTAGCATGCTAAGCCTGACACTCCTGCAGAGCAGGTCACTGCTTTACCTGTTGGAGCTACCCCCACCAGGGTCCCAGGACCCCTGTCCTAGCTTTAGTCCCTCCTGCAGCCCAAAGACCTTCTCATCATTCACCTGGAATATACATTCAGATCCCACAGCTATGCCCAAGTCACCCCCTCTCTGACTCACAAAACTTGTATGCCAATCAGCCTGCTCAATGTCACATCCTGTAAGGCCATCACTCTTCTTAGTAATCTACTGTGCCTGCTCAGTGCTGTTCCTCCTTCCTCAGGAGCCCAAGGGGCACAGTCAGCCTTGTTCATCTGTGTCCTAAGAATACATGACCAGCATGGACGATGGGAAGTAGAACAGTGAGGATGTTGTGGGACAGACGGGGCTAGACACTGAGGCACGGAGAGGAAGCAGGTTCATTGGCTGCAGCCAGGTTCAGAATGGAGGCTTTCACCACAGTCCATCAATCACTCTGAACCCCGAGTTCAGAGATTTTCAGAACTTTATAMCCAGTGTGTAGGGGGAGGGGCTCAGAGGTTCACAATATGTAGAAGTCYACACAATAGCAGCTTTTTTTCACTGTTGAAAGCATTGAACCCAGGCCTGAATACAAAAATGCAAATGCCTCTGTGGAGGTCTTGGGTTATTAGCCTTTCTTATCACATCCTGCTTCTACAACACACCTCCTGCCTGAAAAATCTGTTGCAGAAATTCTTGCTGATGGTCTAAGAACAGTTATGGTGAGTGTCTCTGGAGAAGCTTAATTTTTCTGTGGAGGAGGGAGTGCCACTACAAGGAGACACCTTCAGGAGGTGGGTTGCCTGGTGGTCTCTAAGGACACATCTGCTGATGTMGGAAGTTGGTTTCAGATGACGTCCACATACCCAGCTTGCCCTGGTGCCTGGAGGGACAGAAGTGACATGGGAGTGGCCCTACCCTAAAGCAGATGGTCTTCACTTCACTTTTGGTTACTGACTCAGTAACCACAGGATTAGTGGTGGCTTTTATAATCTTATGCTTTGGGGCAACTGTAACATTTTTAAAATATATTTTTAGCAGTTGAAGGGCCTTTATTTTTTACTTATTTATATACGGTGCTGAGAATCAAACCCAGTGCCTCACACATACTAGGCAAATGCTCTACCACTGGGCCATAACCCCAGCCCCAAACTGCAAATTTTGTAAGAGCAATTGTGTTCTGATATTAGGAAGCATGCTAAACAGTTTGGTTTGTGCCAATGTCATCACTCCAAGGCCCAGTCTCAGGAGCCTTGGGTCTTGCCTTCCCCAGGAAGGTCAGTGCAATGCTCTGGACTTGAGTCCYCAAAGTCCTCCATGACAGGATCAGGACACTGTCCTTCTGTACCTTGGTGATGCTGGAGATTTTATTTCATTTGGTATTTGGTGGGCCAGAGATTAAAACTTGAGGAAATTTTATCCAAATTTTCTTAGAACATAAAAGAAGAAAATGAAATGGGGTCATGGATGTCTAAATGGAGAGGGGCTATTTTGAAATCTAAAATAAAACAAAACACACCRTTCCAAAGGAACAGGGGAGGACGCTAGCAGATGTCTAGAACTCAGCAGGTGTGTCCTCTATTCAAACACCACCTTGGGTGCATAGGGCCTGTGGGATGGGGCAACCCCAGCCTGGAATCCCTCTTGAATACAGAGTTCTGAGCAGAAAGGAGCCATCCTAAAATGGGRCACAAAGTCCTCAAGTCCTTGTCAGTCAGCCCTGTGAGTAAGCAGGGGAAAGGGAGTCAGGGGAGTCCAGGYACCGGCTTCCTCCCCATTAGTTCTTCTGCAAAGTCCTGGGCTTTCCTTCACCCAGAGGTGGCTCTGGGAAGCCAGCTCACTGTCCAGAGCCTTCTTCACCTATCTTAATGCACCTCTTGCTAGCAGAGGGGCTGCCATCCTAGCCAGCCTGTGCCCAATAACCCAGGACCCTATCCCTTTATTCTTTCCAGGTAGTGAAAGGCCTGAAATACATGCTGGAGGTGGAAATCGGCAGAACTACATGCAGAAAAACCACACATCATCCCCTGGACAATTGTGACTTCCAAACCAACCCTGACTTGAAGCGCGTAAGGAAGAGGGGCTGCCCTCTCAGCCYAGCCCTCCTTAACTGCTCCACTCATCCTTCAGGGCTGGGGCTGCTTCTCTGACCTGATCAGTTCCCTGACCACACACTTCCAAACCTCAGTCCAGAAGAGGTCAAGCACAACGCACAGACATACATGGAGAGTGCGAGGCAACGACATCCTCTCCAACACCCCCCTACATGACCTGTTTGTCCCTCCCTGAAAGACACATCTCAGGACGGAAATGCCTGGAATCAGGGTAGGGAGATTAGAGCAGGAAAAACTTCCATATAATTCAGAAATTACATATGTGTGTGTGTGTATTACAAATAGTATGACATGTCATGATTTATATATTATATATGGTATGATATATATCATGTTATGATAGCTATATATAGCATGATATATGATAAAATGATATATAATATCTCCCTTTGCAAAGAGAAAGCAAATGTGGCAAAACTCAATAATTCATAAATATAGGTGAAAAGTACATATTCTTAAATCATTCTTTCAATTTTCTTTGAAAATTTTCCAAATAAAAATGGGAGCGAGGGATATCTCTTCAGTGAGGAACACACCCATGTACACACATACACACATACACAACACCTTAGTGGCCCAGGTGTGGTATCAAAGTGTGCCAGGAGAGTTCTTTGGTGGGGAGGGTCCTCTGAGGCATTCAGGGGGTCCTTAGGTGAGCCTTTCTTTTTTCAGATTCTGAGTTGCTATACTGAAGTTTGGGTCATCCCCTGGCTCCGAAAGTTCGAGGTGCCTATTATTCGTTGCCAGTGAGTTCTGACTTTCGCCTGAGTTCTGCCTGACTTTCGCCTGCCTCTTCAGCAAAACTTTGGCTGTAAGGACACCCACCATACTTGTGCTCTTCGTTTCCTTCAGCCCCAGCACTGTGCCCAGCTGATACAAACCTTTAAGGACCTTCTCATGTGTAGGCAGATGGAAGTGCTAATGGGTCATTACAGAGTAGCTGGAGTGGGAAAATGATAGTACATCATGGCCAGATTAAATATATCACATTTCCTTCTGTAACTTTATTGATGCTGTACTCTTAGATAGAGGGTCTGAACCTGTATGGGTCTGAGTCTTTTGATGGGCCTCATTGGGGTTGGGGACAGACAGATGTAGGCTGACCTGAGGGGGAGGACAGGGTACTCTCTCCTATCTCTCACCCCATGGAGAGTCAAGGCATCCATCTCTTGGTTTCAGTTATTAGCATTATAGCACTAGATCTGGGACAAGTGTGCTACTGATCACTTGATCTCTGAGGATGATTAAAGTTATTAATAAAAGACTGATCATTCCAGTGCAATGACTCTGTGTGTCACCTTTTAGTAGCAAAGTCAGGAAGATGAGGAGAGCAGTGCCAGGAGTCCTTCTCATTGTGTGGTCTGGCAAGTTTAGGTTGCTTTCATAAAGTTTCTCAGAGGCTTGTCCAGCAATTAGCTGCTAATTAAAATGTGAAGTCTGAGCAACTAGAAACAGGGAAGCCTGTCAACATGGTGGGCAGGGCAAGGTGACCCTGTAGAGGTTGGGAGAGCCTGCCCTCCAGCCAGGTTTCTTCAGGGTCAGGCCTCCACCTGAGTTCTCTGCTGCCTTTGGGGCCTGAGGATTTGGAACAGCTTAGCACAAGCACAGAAGGGCTTGGGCATGTAGGGTGGGGCAATGGTGGAACAAAGCCATCCAGGGACAGGCTGTGCAGGGGCATAAGAAAAGAAAGAAGAAATTGCAGGCTGCAGACCACCAGATCCTAGGGAAAGACAGATCTTCAGCTTGATCTAGAATTATGGAGCTGGATCATAGAGGGAAGCCTAGGAGCTGACTGGTAGCCTGGTTCTCTGAGCCTTCATTCAGAGGAAGGTGACCATAGGTCCCTGCACCAGCAARGCCCATTCACTGTGGGCTTTTTCCTCTCCAAACTCTCTTTAAAGTGACTACATGTAAAGTAGGGTGTACACTGTTAGCAGAAGATGCTGCCACCTTGAAGAAACATGGACTTGATAATCTCTAGAAAAGAAAACATGCATCCAATAGGCAATTTATGGCTCTCCACCATAAATGCGATCAATGTAACACAAAAATAAATTACCCTTTGGTTTTTTTCAGTGAAATATAAGTAACCAAAATTCCAAATGTTCCTTTGTTTTTACTGCCTTGACTCATCTTCTGACCATTTAATTCAGGGATAGTGGTGGCAGCAATGACATAAGATATTTACTTTATTTGGTGATTCCGAAGGCCCCTGAAAGCAATCCTTCCWTAAAAGGCCCTGTTGACCCCGCACACAACCAGGCAGGGAGTCACAGATTGGAGGAGCCGGAGGGACATCAGGACACAGCTGAGCCAGACCCTGGGAGACTTTTGCAAGTTGAAGCAATAGATGAAGGGGCCCTATACCCKTACTTCGCAGTCCATCTCATTTACACAAGTACAGACCCAGGGTGCATCAAGTTCAGGCTCCCTGCCTCTCCTGCCTCCCAGGTGTGAGCATGGGTGTGTTCAGGTGTGAGGAAGGGGGGCCCATGTTCATGAGCTGTAGCTGAGCTCTTCTGTCCTAGCCAGGGCTCCCTCAGGCAAGAGTCCCTACCAACCCCTGCAGCAGCTTCACCCCTGGAAGAAGGAAGTCTCAGATCCTGACCTCACATTCCCARGTTTGAACACTAACCTATACCAGAGACTTTCAGTACACCATTTGAATTTCGAGTCTATTCCGATCTCTTATAACCAGCCCCGTCACAGGTCTATGAGGCCTGTGCCGCCCACACCACATTTCAATCTTCTGGAAAGTCTCTCTGTGGGCCTGTACTCCAAGGGAAGGCTTTATCTATAATACACCACCATTTTAGTTATTTACAATTTGTTTCATTTCATATGTTACTGAATAATATGTTCCCCCTTAGACCAGCCGTGCTAATGCCATAAGGAAAGACACTTAGCAGGCCCATGCAACCTTGACTTCTGGAAGCCAACTGCCAACAYGCCTTAGTATTTTCAGAGACACACATACCAACTATGTCCCTGAAGACACATTGTTCCTGCTGCCAAAGACAGCTGTGGTAGATTTGAACAAAGGGTGAAACAAAACATCCACATGGAGATGGGAGTGAATGTCAACCTGGATGACCTGAAATCCCAGGCTACCAATCCAGTTTTGCCTACTTTAAAAAATTTTCAGCTTGACCCCTACACAAAGGGAATTATTCTGACACTAAAAGCAAGTGGTTCTATCATCTAATGTTACTATCACTGAGAAAAGGTAAGGTTAAGTACCCAGGCTTCTAAGATCGATCAGGATTATGACCAAAAAAAAAAAAAAGAAAAGAACTTYTGTTCAAGGTCTCAAACTGCCCAAAACCAGTCAAAATCCTGACAGCCCTGAGTGTTCCATAGTTTTCCCCAAACTGCTGCACACTCCTTGCCAGCTGTGCACACTCCTAAGGAGCCAGATCCACAGCCACATGGATCAAAGTTCTCTATTCTCACCTTCAGACTCCTGCTTAGTTTAGCTTCCCCTGCAGGTAGCAGATGGACCTAGGCTATGATTAACGCCCCACCACTGCCCATGGGGACTACCTGTGAAGCTTCAAACCCAGAGAACTCTGATGTGCCACCAAAGTTAGAGCCCAAGCCCCACCACAACYCATAGGCTACAGCAGTGGCCACTGTACAATCAGACCCTGGGAAGGTCACCTGTCTCCAATTCAGCCTCAAAGTGCCTCAATCATGGCACAGGAGTCTCCAGCTCAGTTGCCTTCTGGCTATGACTCTTGGCAGTCACTGACTCTTAGAGAATCCGTTCCCATCTGTACAATGAGACCACATCTCCTTGCCTCATTAAAAGTTAGTGTATGGCAGCCAGATGTGACATGCACACCTGTCATCCCAGCTACCCGGGAGGCTGAGGCAGGAGGATGGCTTGAGCCCAGGAGTTTCAGGCCAGTCTAAGTGACATAGTTGAACTCTGTCTCAAAAGAAAAACAAATAATAAAAAGTCAGTGTATATGAAAAACTTCCAAGACTGTACATCACTCTGCAAGTATATGTTGACAGTAAAAGAAAGGGGTTTGGGGATGCAACCCAACTATAATGGTAGAGTGCTTGCCTATCATAGGCATGTGTAAGGTCCCAAGCACCACATGTGCAAAAAAAGAAAAAAAAAAACTCAAAAGGAATTTCATTCCTATGAAAGTTAATAACTGAATCCTGATAGAGTTTTTGTGATAGATAATAGAGGTGCCCAATGAATCACCTGGTTGATTTTTAAAAACATGTTAATAATTCACACTAGAGTAAATCCCTTTTATGTTTACCAGCAGAAGCATGTCACATATTTAAACCTAAAAAGAAGACTATCTTTTTCACCTTCTCATGCCAAATTACCACATAAAACACAGGAAATGACACCTGGAGACAGAAAATCAACACCTGAGTCAAAATCAAGACTCCTTTGCTGAAAACTGTGAAAAACAATTTACCAGCTTCTTTGCACCTAAGCATTAAGCACAAAGTTCTCTATTCTCAAACAACTGAGAAGTCAGCATACAGGCCCAGCACATTTAAATTGTTTTTATGACACAGTGATTAGGCATTACCTTATTATTCTTCTGTACATGACATGTCCCATCATTAGCTGTTTAAAAGTATTTAATAGCCAGGTATAGTGGCACATATCTGTAATCYCAGGTACTCAGGAGGCTGAGACAGGAGGATCACAAGTTCAAGGCCAGCCTAAGCAACTTAGCAAGACCTTATCTCAAAAAATAAAAAGGGCTGGGAGTATATCTTGGTGGTAAAGCATGCCTAGGTTCAGTCCCCAGTATCCTCAAAAAAGTAATTAATGAATACTCAATTTTCTTTCCTATAAAGGCAAATAAACAATATTAATTGTTGTTCATTTGATTAAATACAGATTGTGTCAGTTGGACTAGAGCCAATCTTTGCATCTAGTCTACTGTCACTTTATTCCACATAAAGCCAGTCCAGCGGAGGTGACACAATAGATAAATCAAGATTAACTCCTTATCAAACCCTTGGTACCTCCACTAACATGAGGGCTCTTTATATTCTTTATATTTTTATATCATAACCTGTTTAAAATATTGTCTGTCAAGTTTTTCAGATGCTTCTAGAGATATAATCTCTTGTGCATTCTCACAAACACCAGGAAAGAAAGGAACAGGTGCCAGCCCCATGCTGTAGGCTAGAAACAGGAAAGAAGTATATTATCAATCTATCAAAAAATGAGTCAACAAGGCTGGGATGTAGCTTAGTGGTTGAGTACCTGCCTAACATGTGAAAGGTCCTGGGTTCCCTCCCCAGCACTGCAAAAAAAAAAAAAAAAAAAAAAGAAAGAAAGAAACAAGGAGGCAGATGGCTAAAGAAGGTTGGTGTCATCAGATGCTCCATGACTTCCCTTCAGAGCCAACTAGATAGGATGTTTGGCCCTAAAACAACTCTTACCGAGACGATCCTCATATCAACACTTGATGGAATTAAATTCAGTCATTTAAAATAAGTACATAAGAAACTCCCAGTCCACATCTTCAAAAAGTTAATCAACAGAAAAGTGGATTTTATATTATTTATTATTATCAAAATTAAGACCAGTGTATAGACTTGTCAAGATACACAGCAACTTAGGGCTTATAACAGTAGCACAAATATGACGTCAACATATGCACTATTTATATCTGTGAGTCTAGAGGTGAAAAAAAAAAGGATGTTCCTAAACACACCCCTGTAGTAAGTACTAAACTACTGGATTGTCCAATTCCAGCAGCATAAGTATTCACAGAAAGAAACCCCAAGAAGTCTTCTTGCCACTGGAATCAGCCTACTTTTCCTACATGCTTACTCAAGGTCTTGAAAACTTCCAGCATGAAGGAAGGCCAGGCCACAGCAGGTGGAAAGTGGGAAGATACCCCTCCACTATGGAGGGAATGCTMAGGGACCAAGGGCCCTTGCCCCGCACAGCTCCTGAGAAACAGTCTAAAGTCACAGTTCACACAGTTCTTGCTGGCTAGCCTCAGTATATTTCTACTGTATACCCCTGTTCTCCTGTACCAACATCCCCCACCAAAAAAAAAAAAAAAACAAAAAAACCATAAGAATAAAGACACTGAGGCCAGCAGAACAAACCCTGAGCCCTGTTAAAAATGTATGAAGTTTCCCCAAGTTTTGGAGAATTACTGTACTCAGAAAGCTTTTTTTTCTTTCTTTCTTTTAAGGGAAATGGCTTTACATGAATTTACCTTCTCCATAGCAGATATGTTATGCTTTCCTCTAAAGATGAAGTCAGGCCCAGGTGATGGGTGCCCCTTGGGGACCTACACATTCTCAAGGTTACAGTAGCCATTCCTATCACACCTCCGAGGACAGGTACATGGGGTCAGAACTGTGTCCATAGCTCCTCCTGAATCAGGTATGATGGCCGAGTATAAT